TGGTTGGATCCCTCAGAAACTGCGCGTCGAACGGAACCACTTGGGTTCTGGCCAGCAAAATTGGTTCCGTATCACCACTTTTTGCAAAGTTGGGGATGTGTTTGGCATGCTGATGTGCAAGTTATGGACTTTAGTCCAAAAAAGTGGACAGAAGTTCACTACTTTACGAGAACGACGCCAAAAAGAAATGATTGTGTAAATGGTTAATTTGCCATGGTTCTACCTAAGCATTTGAAAATATATTTGCACAGAGATGTAGCTCACGTTGCCTACTGTCATATGGCAGCTACCAAGCCAGAAAGTGTTCAAAAACCTATTCAAATTTGCATTTGCTTTTCTGCGCAAAGTTTCATCCACGCGAAATCACCGACCTCACATGAAAAAGCATTTGGAATGGGTAGTTGTTTACATTTTACTCGCGATAATCGGCGCTGCGCGGTGAGTTTCATTGCCGGCATTAGTCGAGAATGAGTAAGGCATATGAAGTAGGACCAGTGCGAGCCTCTGCGTAGCAGAGGTGACGCACTGGTATATATATAGATGATCAACGAATAAACTTCTAACACTAGTTTCTATAATACATCTCTAGCGTACTTGTGCAGCATCCAATCTTACAACGTGAGTTTATTTTCATGTGTGCACAATTGCGCCGTGTAAGTTCTACTTTTGCGCAATTCGTTTTATACCATGCTTGTGCTACTCTTTTGAGGGTCAGTGCGTGTTATCATAAAGGGGTTCTTCAGTTTTGGCACTTGTCAGAGTGGAATGCCCAACCATTTTTCCTCGTCGCATTCATTTGTAATCAAAGCTAGAATTCTTTTTCTCGCGAAGTCAGTGTTTCATGTATTTCAAATTTGAACATAAAACGAAGTTGAAACTAAATACTAATTCTAAATACTACAATACTCGTTGATCTTTTCCATAAAATTATTAGATGCGAGTAAATGTTTGTATGAAGTGTTAGGCTAGAGTTAACCTTGCTCTATGCTAGGGTTAAATTAACCCTGTTGAATCACATAAGTTTTACCCTCCAGGGTTAGTTTAACCCTCAGGATTCGTTGATGAATACGGGTTAATCGCTTTCGGGGTAAGATTTACCCTCAAGGTTAGATTTAACCCTCAGGGTCAAGCCTACCCTTTGTTTAATGAATATGGGTTAGTCGCTTTCCAGGGTTAAACTAACCCTCCAGTGGCCGTATTCATCAACGAACCCCGAGGGTTAAACTAACCCTGGAGGGTTAATTTAACCCTGGAAAGCGTTTAACCCGTATTCATGAAACACAGGGTAGGATTAACCCTGAGGGTTAAATCTAACCTTAAGGGTTAATTTTACCCCGAAAGCGACTAACCCGTATTCATCAACGAATCGTGAGGGTTAAACTAACCCTGGAGGGTTAAACTTACGTGATTCATCAGGGTTAATTTAACCCTAGCTCAGAGCAAGGTTAACTCTACCCTGACACTTCATACAAATATTTACTCGCATCTAGTAGTTTTATGAAAAACGATCAACGAGTATTGTAGCATTCAGTATTAGATTGTTGTTATAGTATTTAGTTTCGACTTAGTTTTATATTCAAATTCTAAGTACATGAAACACTGAGTTCGCGAGAAAAAGAATTCTAGCTTTGGTGACAAGTGAATGCGACGAGGAATAATGGTTGCGCATTCCACTCCGACAAGCGCCAAAACAGAAGAACCACTTTATGATAACACGCATTGACCCCTAAAAGAGTAGCACAAGCCCGGTATAAAACGAACTGCGCAAAAGTAGAACTTACACGGCACAATTGCACACATGAAAATAAACTCACGCTGTAAGATTGGATGCTGCACAAATATGCTAGAGATGTATTATAAAAATTAGTGTTAGAAGCTTAATCGTTGATTATACTACTGTGACATTGAAAGAATAGAAGTATAAAGTGAATTTAGCACGTACTTAGGCATTCTGTGATGTGAGCTTGCACAGCGCACGCGTAACTGACGCCTTTATCCCCAGGGTTAGTTTAACCCCCAGGGTTCATTGCCCGTATTCATCAACCATAGGGTTCGTTGATGAATACGGCCACAGGCTCGTTGATCGATACGGGTGGATTGCGTTTGGTGGCAAACCCTACCCTATGGTTGATGAATACGGCCAATGAACCCTGAGGGTTAAACTAACCCTGGGGGTAAATTTAACCCTCAGGGTTCATTGATGAATACGGCCACAGGATTGGTTTAACCTCAGGGTTCGTTGATGAATACGGCCACTGGATTGCTTTTGAGGTTGAATTAGCATGTCGCATTGCTATTCTTAGGGCGTTCAACTCCAGCTTTGCTATGGTTGTATGACCATTAACAGAAGGAAGTTTCGATTTTGCCATGACAAATGAGGAGAAATCTTCGTTGAAGAAGTATGCACAGGCTGCCATAGCTACTTGACTTGCATCTGCGAAAACTGCTAAGTGATGAACTCGCGTTCCGACTGTGAACTGTCTGGGAAGCCATTTCCCAGAGCCATCTGCACCTTTCCTCAAATTCTCCCATTCTTCGCGTAGCTCAGCATGGATGGTATCATCCCACTGCAATGATTGTTTCCATAAGCCTTGTTGAAATATTTTCAATTTCGTCATCAGTGGACTAACCATCCTAGAGGGTCATAGATAGATGCTTTGTGATGTGCAACTGTGCGTATTGTTATGATTGATGTCAGTCTTAGTATTGTGCATCTGATATGCAAAGTATCTTCTTCCGAGTTCCATGTAAGGTCAAGCACCTTTTGCGTTCGTTTTTCAGCGCAGACTTCGTCCTTCAGGACCTCAGTCAAGGAGTTTGGAAAGATAGTCCCGCAAGTTCTTCCCCATGTCTTTAAAGGCTTGTCGCGGAGCTTGAGCTTTTCGCTGTAGTTCAGTTTCTGTGTCCGCGGGAAGGACCAAGTTGTTTACGTAAAGGTTATTCCGTATATCCTTTGCAAGTTCTTCACCCGATATGTGATGTTGCACATGATAGCGTATTGTTCCTGCCAGGAGAAATGGTGACACATTCAGACCATGTTATTCTTGTAAAGCGATAAGTAATGATGTTGTCTCCTTTTGGCGGATGATTGCGCGAACCCAGAAAAATCTGCTTGCGTCCCTGTCGACTTCGTTAAGATGGACTTGTAAAAATGCCCTTTCAACGTCTGCTGTTGCAACGTACTTTGCTGGGCGGACTAATATATAAACTCAACTCAAAAATGTGCAAATAGCGGGAAACCGCGGGACGGTCCTGAAGCGCGCGGATGCAATCTAGCACCTTTAATTACTGGCTCACTAGTCATATCATATCGTATCGTATCATCCCAAACAATTCCGGGAGTTATCGTATCATCCTAAACAATTCCGGGAGTATGAATGGCCCTTGATCATTGAGGGATGGACTGTTTTCGAAGTGCGACGAGGCATCAAACACAATACGGAGCTTTGTTGTTTCCTTGTGTGGTGTAATCACTGGTTGATGGGGAATGTAGTTTAGGTAGCTCCCTTGTTGTGGTAGATTGTCTAAAACTTCTTCTATTATGCCCTTCTGTTTTTGCTCTTCATTGATTTCGCCATACTTCCCGCACGTTCGTATCTGTTCTTAGCGTCCGTAGTACTATGCAACCGCTTGACTGCGATGGCTTTGTTGGTGCTTAGAGGCGGGTGTGATTCCCTGAAAGGCAAGCGTACATAGTATCCATCTATGCGTCTCTCAATTGTGGAGTTGAGAAAGTTTTCCACTTTCTCTTGAATTGCCGCTTTTTCTTCATTTTTGGTGCCAGTGAATTCGCAGATTCCTAACGAATCTATTGTCCAGTATTTGTCCCATCTTTCTTTATCTTCATCAAAATTACTGAGACTTGTCAGTATCCGGATTGTAGACAAGGATGTTCAAGATTTTGTCTCATTGTGGGACGTGGAACCCCATGAGATATGTTGTTTTCCTGTGATCAACTAACCAAATTTGGAAAGGATGAGTAATAAACCTGATGGCAGCGTGAACTTTAGTGATGCAATTTCCAGGAAGTCAGTCCCAAAGTTGGTCGCACCCCAATAAGATCTGTGGGCGGGATACCCTTATTTGTTTTGTGACCGAGAGGGGTATCCGACGGGTTTTCAAGAACTTCAAGTCTTCATTGCTCAATATCACCTTTTTCCCTTTTTCCGTAAGCACCGGGCGTTGTGTATAATCGTACATTGTGACTTTCCCCTTCCTTATCCCAGAGCTCTAGTTGGGTCATCTCACACACTGTTGGCTTCGCTTCATGCGAACCGAACGTATACATCTGGAAGCTTTCTGTCCCTAAGCTCTCCAGGTGAAGCTTATTTGCTAGGCTTGCGCTAATAAAGGACTGATCTGCACCTGTGTCGAAGAGTATTTCGACATCAGTCCATTCCTTGCCAACGGTGTTGTAGAAGCTTGCTGAGCCTGTTAGAAGTAGTACTGAGCCACTTTCTCTGAGCATTCCTTTTTCTTCGGATGGAGAATGGTTTTTGGTTCCTGTGTTCTATCCAATCCATTAATTTCTTTCAAAACCTCCGTGCTAACTTGATGTGCTCGTGTTTGCTTGCTCTTGTTGTTTTGTGCCGACAGCCTTCCTAAGCTGTGGTGGTGCATGTGGCTGTTGTTGCGAAATTTGTCTTCGACTTCCATCTTTGTCGCCCATTGCATTGGGAAAGCGTTTTGGGCAAAGTGTATAATGGTGCCTTTTGCCTGGGCAACTCCTGCACCCTTCACTGGTGCAATCTCTCGCATAGTGGTCCTTTCCGCCACAGTTAAGACAAAGCTGCTTTTCTTGCATCACCTTTCGCCGTTTCTCTGTGGTGTCATAAATCCTGCAGTTGACAGACTTGTGGTATATGGCTCACAGGATGTGCAGACTGGAGGCTTTGTTGCTCCATGAGTTGTATCCCGCCGTAGTTGGACTTCGTCCCCGGAAGCGACTCGTGTTCGTGTTGACCATGTCGTTGACTCGCTCCTCCATGTTTATGAGTGAGTCAAGGTCCGCTAGAATGTTTTGGATCCAAGTCTTGTTCTCCCGCTTCTTGAGGCACACGACGTTCCAAAACCTTCCGCTGAAGTTTCACCGTGAACTTCGAAATCACTTTTTGTGCGAGTAAAGACCCTAAGATAACCCTCATAGACGAAGTTTGAGCAAGCTTTGAGACAAAAAAATTTTGGGGCCCGGATAGCCGAATAGCGCCAAACTAATATTGTGTTCGTGATCAGCATGCTCGATTACCCCCCCCCTGTGCCAAATCCCCCCGTAGCTCAAACTTTGCAAAAAATCGATAAATTCGATAAAAGTAATCGATAATTCTGAAAACTAATGTAGTATTCGAAATCCCCATGCTCGATTACCCCCTTGTGCAAACTCCGAGCCCCGTAGCTCAAACTTTGCAAAAAAATCGATAAGATCGTTAAAATCGATATCGATATAACGAAAAGTGGCCTATGACACCCGCCGGGGCCCGAAGTGTATGTGTGCCAAGTTTGGTCCGGATCGGTTCAGAAATGGAATTTTCTATTCGGAACATACGTACATACACAGACAGACAGACATACATACAAACAGACATTCAGCTTTATAGGTCATTCCGGAAGTAATTTCGCTTTTTTCAAACGGGCACCACATTTGGCGGAACAAAGGTTTCTAAGAGATTTTGAAGGCATTCGATGCAGAATTTCATCCTCTTCTAAAGGTTATGAAATTGTTGCAAAACACTTAATGAGCTTTCAGAAAATAACCAAAATTTGCGACCCATCTTTTTGAGATGGTCAAGTTTCACGATTTTTCAAAACTTTCATATCAGTCCTCAGAAGAAGTTCAAGTAAAGATTCGATAGAGTAAACCTTATAGAACACAGTATTGCTTTTTCCCCTTTCCTTAGCTTGTCATACATTTTTAACAGAATTTTAACTGATGCTACCGATTTCCATGCCTGGGCAGCTAAATCCTCATAGAACATCAAAGGAGAAGCAGATCAAGCACTATTCGATGCAACATTTTCTCCTCTTTCTAAAAGATGTTTTTTGTTTCCGATTCGTTTAGTTTCCGGGGATAAAATCATCATAACTCATTTTTTTTTAGAGAGCTCCAGGCTATACCCGAAAAATTCGAAATTTGATATTTCGAACCCGTAAATCCTCACTTGCTTTGTAAAATTAATGCTAATTCATAGTACCATCTTGGTAGTCTCCAATTCCGAATATTTATGATGTTTGATGCGATTGTCTGATGTGGGCCTCCCGAAAACCGATGGTTTTTTAAGAGAATTTTTTGAAAGATTACGGCGAGCTACGAGGAAGAGAAAAAAGTAGTACTGTATTCTATAAGTTTTACTCTATCGAATCGTTACTTGAATTCTTTCTGAGGATTGATATGAAAGTTTTTAAAAAACGTAAAACCTGACCATCTCAAAAAGCATGGGTCGCAAATTTTGGTTATTTTCTGAAAGGTCATTGACTGTTTTGCAAAAATTTCATAACCGTTGGAAAGAGAATGAAATTCTGCATCGAATGCCTCCAAGATCTCTCAAAAACCTTTGTTCGATCAAATGTTGCGCCCGCTTGAAAAGAGCGAAATGACTTTCGGAATGACCTAATATATAAGATGATCTATTTCAGTTTTTGGCATTATACGGCAAGGTTACAGTAGTCATGCTGTACGAACCAACAGCATGAATTTTCATGAAAAATTGTGTTTTGGGGTTATTTCACGTGCTGATCACGATCATAGTGTCCACTTTGTTCACTACTTTTCCACAATGAGACTACAGTAGCAGTACGGTAGAATCTCGTAAAAATCAAGAAACTGATATAAGAACGCGGTGTTTGAACTTAAGATTGTCATTTTCGAAATCAGCATGCTAGAAAACCTATATATGTAAGATTTAAACTTCCTGGGATGAACAATGCAGAAAAATCAATAAAATCAATAAAATTGATAATTCTTTGAGGGCTAACGTCAATCTTTCCCTGACTGTATTTCTCGTGCATGTAAACTTGAGTTTTCAAAAACAGCACCACTCTGCGTTAAATCTGAGCTAAAGTATGTGTCTTATCTCTATCTACGGTATACCCACCGTAACACTACATTACAGTATACCTAACTCGGACCACTCTGGCTGCAGCTTCTCCAAGGTCTCCCCAATCAAGTGCCAGAATCTCGCAGAATTCCACCGTAAACTGGCAAAGCTAGAGTTACAGGAATCTTACGACCCACCGGTGGGTCATATTGTCGTGAATGTGATAAACACGATTGTGGCGGGGCGAAGTTATTTCGATGTGTCTTTCGTTTCCAAGCTATACTCTTATGCCTGTGAAAGATGCCTTAGCAAAATAAAATTTTTTCAATTTATCTTAGAGCTTTACCACCAGCTTTCGAACGTAACTTACAGGATGGACATTCTTTCACTACACCTTTTGTCTTAAGGCCGATTGAGCGAGATTATGGGGAAACAAGACTCAAACCACTTGTTGAAAAAATTCGTTGGGCGACATCCACTACAGGATATTATGATAGCTCCAGAAGCAATAATAGATCAGCAAAACGTTATTAACCAAATGGTTCATCCAGCATAAGGAGCACATTCAAAAGCAAAGGAAAGTACGAAATCGTCTCCCGGCACAGAAGAATAGGTAAAAAGGAAAGCTATTAGAAAATCGCGTTTAGGAATGGTTCGCTCAAATTAATCTGGGAGAATAGTAATTGTAAAAAATTTTTGGTAATAAGTGAAACACAGCTTGGAATAGCTACAAAATGCGTCAGATCAAAAACTTTTGTAATGAGACGAAATCGCTTGAAGGCAGTGTCCAGGCAGATCTGGTCGCATGGCTCTTTCGACTGAAAATTGATGAGGGGGTCCTAACTAAGGCACTGCCCAAGGGGCAGCGCAAATTGTTCAATCACGGCTGAGAAATCATCCCCGAAAACCCCGCGCCTGCGCCGTAACCGTAACCCAAAAACACTTCGCTCACTTTAACACTACATTCGCGCTAGGACCAATCGTAATTACGGTCACGGCGCAGCAGCGGAGTGTTTGCGGATGCGAAAAAAGTGTTGAGATTAGCGCTCCAGATTTTCATCAATAGTTGCGTCTCTTTTTTTGTGAAGAACAAACCTTGTAATATTTGATCAGATCGCCTACTGAAGCAAACTTCAAGGCTTTCCCTCTGACCAGTAAATAATGTAAAGTATAATTATCGCCAACAACACTTATGGTCAAGTTGTCGATTGTAGATCCATTCTGAAACAGACAAGCTTGAAAATAATAATTGTTGTAGTTTGTTGCAGACTGATTGCAGCTTCATCCGCAGCTTCTGATCTAGATTGAACTTGGAATTTGATTGCTTTCAAATCCATCGCGAAGTTATGATATATGATATCTGTCCCAATCGGGATCAGGAGTCGACTTGAATCTGTGCGTTCGCAGCCAGTATTAGAGGTTTGCGCTGCATATGCACTCTGTCGGATGCCATGCCATTTGGCCTGATTGGGGTTGGGACAGATTGTATGAGGCATGCAAACGTGATCGCGCGCCAAGTCCGAATGTCTGCTGCGTTCTACAGCTGAAGCGACGATCAGGGACAAAATTACGCAAGGTAAATGCTGCATGGCTCCCGTCCCGTAATACCTCCTCTTTACGAAGCAGGTTATTGGCCAGGAGCTAAAGCATAAACAGTACAACGGACGTTCAAAAAAAAAACGAAGAACACTGTGAAACGAAGCCACAATTGTGCCACGGGTTTCCAGAGTTGCTCAGATTGTTTATAAAATGCGACGTGCCAAACGACTGCATGATCATTCAAAGAAGTGGCATTCAATCTGTTCCAAACGAGATCAGACAGCAGCTTTGGCTCGCGATCGCGCGCGCAATGCTAGCAATTTGCGCCGCAGGTGTGCTTCCTAAAAGATCAAAAAAATAAGAAGAGAATGTGTATGGGGCGCGAGTTAACTGTAAAGATGGGGAAGAATGGGACACGTACACAGCGATGCTCCCAGGTCTGCTCTCGTCAAAGCGAAATGAGTGCGGCTTGCAGGCGTGAAAATAAGAAGAATTTTGGACTGATCCATCCTGACCCGCCGCCGCCATCCGCACCTTCGGTCAACTTCTACTTGGACCTCGCTGTATTCTTTCCTACTGCAGTACCTACTTTGAGGGTGGAAACACCCTGCTATCCCCTAGCGCCGGTCGACTTGAAGAAACGAAGGCTGGAGTTCGAGTCGCCGCACACTTCACCGGATCTTCTTCAAGCAGCGAATGATTTGGCGATGGACGACTCCCTGCCGCTTTATGCACGCACAATCATGGCACATCTACTCGATCGACAAAAGGACATGGAAGCCATTCTACTTTTAACCGTGAGTTAACTGGCGAGATGAAGATTTTGCGAGAAGATATTGCACTTTTGCGAGCTGAAAATGCTGAATTGAAGAAAACGCTTCTTGTTTCTAGCCCCACTTCTGCTACGTCACAGCCACCGCCGGTACAGAGTCCCACATATGAAGAAGTTGAGCGGAAACGATCCCTCGTCTTCATCGGAGTTACAGAGGCCCAGGGCAGCAGCAATCAAAGGATCAAACATGATTATACCTGCGTTAGTCAGTTATTAGATTTTTTATCGATTGACTATTATCTCGTAGCTGTCTATCGTATGGGTAGACCAACTAGCCGTCATGACAGATCGATGAAAGCCATTTTGCCCTCATCTTTTTTCGTCAAACTCACACTTAGCCGTGCATCTAAGCTAAGGTATTTTCCTTTTAAGAGAGGTATTTTTGTAAGAGCTTCCCTGTCCAAAGAGGACACAGACAAACTTAGGTAAGATCGGGGTGCAGGCGTCCTTCCATTAGTGATCATCCCATGGCCTCGCCTAATTCAGGCACTCAATTAAACGCTGTTGTTGATGTTTCGTTATATCATTCTCAGTCTCAGTTTGCCGATCCTTCTAAAAAAACAATTAGCTATTCCTCGGATAGATAGTTCTTTTCGGTGCCTTTTGACAAATATCAGATCGATCTCTAAAAATGCAATACCCCTCACATTTATCCTACGACACTTGAAGCATGGGTTATTTGCCTTACTGAAACATGGCTCAACGCCAATATCACTGATTTGTCAGTCTTGGGCAGTTTACTTGATACTTTCGAGGTTCATAGATGTGATAGGTTGGATAAAAAGGGAGGAGGGGTGGCAATATGGATCAACAGAAGATTGTACCCCCAATTGATTTTTTCTGAATCTGTTGTTGATGGCTATGAATTGATCTGCTCTGACATCCTTACCAGTCAACAACAAGTACGATTGGTACTTGTCTATAGGACGCCCACTTGTACAGCTTTTAACAACAAACAAATGATCAAAGCCATTACTGATCTTATGACTTGCAATTAGCCTGCAGTCATAATCATACCTTCGATAGTCAAGAGACAGAGGCTAGAAAGTGATAGTTGTTTGCGTTCTTGCCCCCTATAAAAAGTGAAGGTTGTTTCAGAAAAATAGACGAAAATTTAGAGATACAAATTAAATTAGAAAAAGAAAATTCATATAAAGCAGAGGTTAGCACATCACCAAATCTGAAACCTTAACTTGGTGGTTTCCTACGCAGAGTTTCGTCTTCAGAATTGCGTTAGATTGGGTGGCAACAAGAACGAAGTTTTTTTCCAACCAAAAAAAGCGCTGTTTAGCTGTGGCGGTAGTTGGGAGACCGAAAGAAGAAGAACTTGTCAACAACTGAATTGAACATGTTAAACATGTCTGTAAAGTTGTGTTGCACATCGACGCCAATCTGATTTTTGATGCGTCCTTTAAATTTTCACCCCCGCATAGTCGTTTCGTACGCTGCGACGTTGTCTGGATTCTTCCGTTCATCATTCTGAGCAAGTATCGTCCAAGCTGGAAAAAATTCGCTGCAAAAGCACAGAAAGAGAACAACGTAAAGAAAAACGCACTTTTTTGTATTTTTCACAAAAAAAACCGGCATAAGCAAAGAAGTAAGCTCGGCGACGTTGTCTACATCATAGACAGAAACAAGACCTATCGAATACACAAAAAACCGAGTGAAAAAAGTTAAACTGAAGAAAAAACAAGAGGTTTTCGAAAACGCCGTTTTTCGAGGATTTCTCGTTTAAATCCTAAAAAGAAGTTCCGCGACGTTGTCAGCGTGAAAATAGAGATCAAGAGCTTTAATATGATATATAGATTATCGAAATTGGGCCCCGAACAACGAAGAAAAGGGTACCAGAGCCAAATGCCCCGCGCCCCGCATTTGAGGTAGCGAGGTAGCGCGCAGCGCGCGGAGACGCAGACGAGCAGCGGAGACAGACCAGAGCCGACGGGGCATTTGGCTCTGGTCGTGGATCTTCGCAGGGTCTCAACGAAACCCTGCAACATTATATATCGTTGTGATCCTCATGAGACGGCCAGGAGCACTGACAACGTCGCGGATCTTGAAAATCACTCCATTACGAGATAGACCAGCATTCATATGGCGACTCTTTGCGCAAAATCTGAGCGCAGTTTTTCGTTTTTATTGAACTCTAGCGGCTTTAATGAACTTCCAACATTCACCCGCAGTCCAGAGAAAAGTTAATTGAGAAATTTTGCCCCAGTTTTTGATTGAATTTTTAAACAAAAACCTTCTTCTCAACAAAAAAGGCCATGAAACGCAATCCTTCGGTTTTTTGAGCTTCTTTTGAATGTCACTGCTATATTTGCCTCATTTAAATTCATCCCAATACGGTTATGTCATTAGTTATGTCATAATTTCCGGGGCTTCGCCTCGGATGACTTCTGTACTTCTCTCCTCTTCCAGGTGAAGGTTGTGTTCTATCATGACGCTCAAAGTGAAGGTTACCGGAGTACATGGCTCTATGTATCGAAGGTATGGTCATAATGGGAGACTTTAATTTTCCCGAGGTCAATTGAAATACCTCGCACTTGGGCAAGATGTGTCCTGCAGCCAAGATGTTTACGACCATGTGCCGTAATCATCAGCTTGTTCAAAAAGTTACGGGAAGTACCCTGGGTAATAGTACTCTTGATCTTAATTTGACCAATGCTGAAGCATTGGTAAAGGATGTCAGAGTTAACCCGCCCGTCGGCTCTAGTGACATGCCTTAGTAAGTTTTCTCTTGAAGGGCAAGCGCAGTGCTGAGACCAAATTTACTTGGCGAAGGGACTTCAAAAATGCTGACATGGCCAAGGCTATTGACTATCTGGGAACTATTGATTGGTTAGGTTCATTCAATGCTGCAGGGTCAGTCAACGGCATGTATGAGTTGTTTATTGTGGCGCTAACATACGATTGAACTTTTTGTGCCATTAAAGTCTGTGCCACTTGATAGGCCGAATCTTCCGAGACATCTTGAAAGACTCTCACGCATAAGAGCCTGGTACAGAGCAAGATCAGATGTAAGAGGAAATGCTTTTGCTTTCTTTATAAAAGTAGATCATAGATACTTAAAGTATTTGAAAAAATATTGTGTCTACCTTGAAAAAAAAGTCATCAATAGTGGAAAGAAATCAGTTTTTCATCATCTCCTCAACTCAAGACTCAAAGGAAGAAGAAAGCTGGGGCTCATTCTGGCAGATGATGGAGCTGCTCTAAGCGCAGACTCTGAAAAATCAGAGTGTTTTGCTGATATCTTCGAAAAGGTTTTTGAAAGGGACGAAGCAATCGCCCCAGATGATATTGCAGTCCGGTTTGCGAATATTGAATCCGTATTTTTTGATGAAGAAGAAATTTTCGGGCTCCTGCGTAGGTGGCCAGCATCAAAATCCCTGACGCCTGATCATATACCTCTTCAATTTATCAAAGAAGTTGCCCATGTCATAGCCAAGCCCTTGCAGTTCATTTTTAACTTAAGTTTAATGAAGTCTGAAGTTCCTGGCAGATGGAGGTTATCCTATGTTACTCCCATACCTAAAAAGAAACCTCTTACATCTGCTCGCAATTACCGGCCCATTAGTATAACATCCATATTTGCTAGACTGTTTGAAAAAATATTGAAAAAGCGAATTGTGAGCCATCTAAGTTCTCATGGAATCATTTCAAGCGCTCAACATGGGTTTCAAGAAGGAAAGTCAACAGTTATAGCGATGTTACATTCGCTATATGACTGGACTCGAGCCCTAGATGCAGGGAAAGGCATTGATGTTACTTATCTCGACTTCACTAAGACATTTAATGAAGTCTCGCATGTTAAACTGATAGTTAAGTTGAAAATGGTTGGAATTCATCCCAGTGTCGTATCTTGGATTCAGGCCTTTTTGCATGGACGTTCATTTATGGTCCGGGTTAATGAGTCTTTCTCTACTCCTAGACCCATGTTGAGTGGTGTGCCCCAAGGTGGGGTCCTTTCTCCGATATTGTTCAATATATATACTTATGAGCTTCCTGATCTTGTATTGAATGCCGGTGTTTCTTGCTGTGCCTTCGCTGATGACTTCGAAATCTACAGTACCAATTCTGACCGAGGTGATAAAGGGAAGTTACAGGGGGCTCTAGATCTTGTGGTTAGATGGTCGAAAGACTGGCTCTTGCCCATCTCGCGTGAGAAAACGAAGGTGTTGTCTATAGGGCCCAATTCGGTTGATTATTCCTACATGATAGGGCATGATGTACTTGAGTATGTAAGTGAAGTGACCGACTTAGGTTTTTTTGGTTAATAGACAACTTAACTTTGATAAACACTGTCAGAAAATTGCTGCAAAGGGAGTTTTTGCTGTTTACAATTTGTTTAGAGCCTTCATGACCAATAATATTGATTTTCTAATACGAGCTTACAAAGTTTATATCAGGCCATTACTTGAATACGGGACTGTTGTTTTTAACCCTTGTAAGAGTAAAAGTATTCACGTTTACCAGGAAACTACTGGTGAGGAGAAATGGATTCATATACGGCCGCTTTCCTAATTACACCTTAAGAAATAATATTTTGGGTCTTGAGACTCTGGCCGCTAGAAGGCACGTATTTGATCTGGTTATGGCTCATAAGATTCTGTTTGGTTAGAAGCTGCAAACTCAGTGCTTCAGATTTTTTTGAGAGGAGAAATTCCATAATCAGAGGAGGTTCGAGTAAGATTGTTTTACAGCGACCTAGGAGAAATGTGAGGAGGGTTTTCTTTGTTAACTGAGTCACTCGTGATATTGATAAGCTTATTAGGAAAAATAACTTTCCTGTCAAGTTGGCACAGTTTCCAAATATCCTCAAGAGCTATCTATCTTCCTCTTCATAGTTATTTTACGTCCTACCTCTAATCCTTTTTATCATGTTTGAATATTTGTTATTATTACTTACTGCGTTTGGTTTGTTATCGTTGATCGATTTGTTGTTTGTTTCGTTTGTTGTGTTATTCGCATGCGCCTATGCAATAAATAATAATAATCATTCAAAGAAGTGACATACAATCTGTTCCAAACGAGATCAGACAGCAGCTTTGGCTCGCAATCGCGCGCGCAATGCTAGCAGTTTGCGCCGCAGGTGTGCTTCCTAAAAGATCAAAAAAAAATAAGAAGAGAATGTGTATGGGGCGCGCGTTAACTGTAAAGATGGAGAAGAATGGGACACGTACACAGCGATGCTCCCAGGTCTGCTCTCGTCAAAGCGAAATGAGTGCGGCTTGCAGGCGTGAAAATAAGAAGAATTTTGGACTGGTCCGGGATGTTGAGATGCAAGTACGCTGCTTGCTCTAACGGGACAACGGCGAAGATAGCTACGAAGAGTCCGAAGTTTATTGAGCTCATACAAACTCAGACAGTCGATGGGATACCTCCGGAGCAGAAGTGGCAGGGTCGCGGGCTTTCCCCAACGGAGGATTGCCACTTCGCGCTCCGGAGCCCTGCCATTTCACGCATTTTTGTGCTCCGGGGCTCTCCCAAAAGTGGCGCACCTCCGAAGCAGAGATTTGCGCGTCGCGGAGAGGGTTCCCATTCGTCCTGTTTGTGACGTCACCGTGACGTCACGGTGAATGAATGGGACCCCTCTCCGCGACGCGCAAATCTCTGCACCGGAGGTGCGCCACTTTTGGGAGAGCCCCGAAGCACAAAAATGCGTGAAATGGCAGGGTTCCGGAGCGCGAAGTGGCAGACTCGCGCCATATGCCCGCCGGAGGTATCTCTTCGACTGTCTGAGAAGCATATATCAAAAATGTAACTCCCCGTATTGAACATATTCTTATCATTCTACGCTTAGAAGTGGATTGCGCGCTATTAAGAGTTTGAAAGTGTTGATGATGTTTGGAAATCATTACTTCCAATCGCAAAACCTACCTTCACGTTCAAGACAAGCGTGTAATAATCGCCACTTTGACTAGCTCGAACAAGAAAATCTCCAGTTTCCCGTAACAATGGACTGAAAGTCAACATAGTGAAAAAAAAAACGGTCACTATAGGTAAAGGATTCAGAGTTTGCATTTTCAACTCAGGATTTTTTCTAGCTTTCTATTTGCAACCCATCAAAAAATAAGGATAAGGGTGAATACCACTTACGCAACATCATCTCTAGTGCGCAGTCCATGGTACCACTCTTCGTCCTCGATATTTCTTCTTTTTGACGGTGTTAACGAATTTTTTCTGCTAATGCGACTTGTTTTGTTCTAGTGTCACATCGTTTAGTATGCGTTTTTTTTTGTTCACAGATTACTCACGAATTCAGCAGACAGCGAAGGAGTGATCTTGGATTGACCTCGTAACTAAACAACGAAGTGAAATTTAGCTCGACAATTATTCTGGATTGACTTGGGCACAATAGACCCTTATCTGGCTTGAAAACCAATTTTCGCGACAATTCACCACACTGAACACATTTCCGCGAAAGTCAAAAACTTCGTAGCCTAAAGCAGCCAACAAAAGTAATGTTTTGACCCTTCATGCTGTTCTCTCGTGTAATCATAGTAATGGCCAACTGCTAATTTTATTCAAGACTGCTTTCACAAAGCAAACGAAAATTGCAATAGCCATGCTTGTAATAACTGTAAGGCGAGCAAAAATAGCAACGAAAGGCGTTACATCATCCTTGATTGACGCCATGACGAATGTTTTCTTCCCAAATCAAGAAGGGAAATACAGATGGCGTTACTTCAGCAACCAATTCTTTTCTACTCAAGCGACACAGGACTCAAGGGATGTTGCAAATGGTCGAATTTTGAAGTTATATCAGTTCAAAACACCGATTTTCAGTGCTCGCATCAAAAGGACAATGGATGGAGCCCAGCACAAGAATAAACTGAATTTTGGAAAGAATTTAGCTCCAGAGACCAAGTCCAGACGGTTTCGAGGACCATAGAAGTCTGTTGGGTATTGCTTGCCTCTCGTCCTAATCAGTCGTGGACTAACGACAATCTTTGACAGCGTCGACACCAGCAACATTCTACCCACGCTCTAATGAGGGTGGACCCAGCTTACGTGAGGGCATTAGCCGACTGCCATAAGGACTGTACAACGATGATGCAGCTGCTCATCGCCTCCGGCCCCTGACCATCTGGATAGCGAAGGTCCGACAGGGAGACACAATTCGCTGAAGCTGTTCACCGCGGCCTTGCATTGGACCAAAGTCATTAGGACGATAGAGGCATAGGGTTAGTGGAAGATCCCTCCGGACCTTCTTTTTGAAAAAGATATCATTCTCCTTTTGTGCAGTTTCGCAGAAACAGAGACAATGCTGAAGGAACTCAACGAAGTGAGGAAGATTGGGTTGCAAATGGATCCCAAAAAGACTCAACTCATGTTAGCGTCCTTCCTGATGCGGATATGGAACTGCAAGGAACCCTCATATGGAGAGGACTATTGAGTCGTTCGATGAACATAGAGACGACTTGAATCATCAACTCAACAGAAAAGGAGAGCTGTGTCGCCCTCGGGTCTTGAATGATACCACCGAGCTGACAGATCCAAACTTTCAAGCCCTCTGTTCTACTCAACCGTTATCTCAGGGCTCCTTCAGGCCTCGGACAGAGTTCACGCGATTTGATCGTCGCGATTCAATTGCCGCGATTTTCATTTTCATCCTACATTCAAAAATTTCGAGCTGGAAGTATCACAACCAAAATGCAAGATGGCCGGCATGCAATGAACTCGTAAGGCCCCGGCAGACTTCACGCGATTTGATCGTCGCGACTGAATCGCGACGAGACAACTGTTACAACATCATTCCATGCCGATCAACTTGCATTCGGTTGTGATACTTTTCCAGACCGAAATTTTTGAATGTGAAATGAAAATGAATGGAAAACTTGGCGATTAGATCGCGACGCTTAAGTCGCGTGAAGTCTGACCGGGGCCTAACAGCTATCTTGTCGCGATTGAATCGCGATGATTAAATCGAGTGAACTCTGCTCGAGGCCCTACGCAGCTGAGACTTGGTCCTAATCACAGAGCGCTCCAGTGCGATTTTCTGAAGACTGACCGACGCAAGAACATTCACCGGACTATGCAGTACGGAAGTCGGAAAACTGCCCCATCTTCGTGGCGTACCGAAGTACAGTCGAGTAGATTTAGTGGTAAATATAGTGTGCTTGCACAGAAGGTGAAATGCGGTAAAATTGGCGCGTGAAGAAATAGTTTCGACTGTGACGCCGGCCAATTGCGCGCGCAAGATACCCGCGGTACTGACGTGGCTACTTGTTCACGCGCAAATTTCACCGCATTTCACCTTCTGTGCAAGCACACTATATTTACCGCTAAATCTACTCGACTGTACGTTGCGAGAGGAAGCATCGATGGACCGGTAACATAATGAAAGGAATAGAAGACAGATGAAAACTAGAAACATTAGAGTGGATCTCACGGAGCAAATCGTGCCCGGGAAAATCATTTCAACAATATGGATAGAATTGTTCGCGGAGCGGATAGACCAGCAAATCGGCTGGATATCATTTTCGTATCCGGAACTTGTGGACGCAGTTGTTGACAACTAGCAAGAAGATAATGTCTGCAGCGAGAACAGGGACAAGTGCAACCTTCTGCGTTTGGCCCGCACGACGTGAAGACGGTGCTTCATGTATAGTAAGATGGAACAGTGAATGTGTGTGAACGATGTAGCGAAATCAACACTGTAGTTACATACACGCTCCATCTTAAGGGCCGGGCATACTTCACGCGATTTCAGTCGCGACGCGATTTGGCAATTCGCCAGAAGTCTTTGGATCCAACACTAGCAAACTGCACATGCATAGTATGTATAGCTCTCGTGGCTTGATAAAATGCCCTATCTTCCGTACAATTAAATTGGGCTTACAGTGAGTTAAGGACAGTTGGAATATTGCCAAGTCGCGTAGCGATGAAATCGCGTTAAGTATGCACGGCCCTTTAGGTACGCTCAAAATCTACCTGCGACGGTGTCTTCCTTCTGATTTGAGGAAGCTCATGCGTTTCGGCCGACTGCTCAGTTGCCATGGCTAAAAATAAACTGAAAGTAACCGACAATTGATTCTGATTTGTGATATTCTCTTCGGGATTGGCCATAGTTTGCCCGTGTTGCCGGGATTGAAAGCTTTGAATGTGATCACTATTTTTGCAGTTCATTCTTCCTAGAGCGATCTCACCGGCTGGTGAGTACAACTGAAATGGAAGTGAGAAATGACGAATGAAATCAAAATGATATGAGAAATGCGTTTGCATGCTGAAACCTCTTACAAATTTTTGTAGAGAACTTGATTTAGATAGGCAATCTCCAAGATGTGAGAACGCTGCAAGACCTCGCATAGGTAGGTCTTTTTTAATCGCAGAAGCGTCGGATTCGACACTCAAAACGTATTACTCAGACTTCGGCAACATTCTCAAATGTTGGGGATTGCCTATTCAAATTAAGTCAGCCAAAAAGTTTATATGAGGTTTTTGCATGCGAAAGCATTTCCCACTTCATTTTGCTTTCATTACTCATTTCCCACTTCCAGTTCAAACGTACTTACCAATTGGTGAGATCGCCCTAAAAAGAATGAACTGCAAAACCAGTGAATTTCACATTCATTCAACACCTGCAACAGTTTCAACACTTTCAACACCGGCAACACGGGCAAACTATGGCCAATCCCTTCAAATAAAAATTCTTTTAACATAGTTCTCAATCTAATTGTGATCAACAAGCACTCATTCAAGTGAATGAGCATCCTTAGGCTTTCCTTTAGTTGCCGTAGAGCATGAGCAATGGAATTGAGAACACATTTCAATCATGACAGAGGAATCAACTGCGTCAAGGTGCTTACTTGTCTTTGCAAGGGGAGCCACCCATTCGCCATCAACTCACACAGAATTTGCCATACACGAAGCGACCTTTGTACTAAAATATTGTGAAGTACAATCTAAACCGGTAGACAAGAGATTGTTTAGACCGTTGCGGGTTCTCCGCATGCGACACTTTCGCAAAGTTAAAAAGTCCATGGAAACGTATTTTTCCTACGGCAGACTACAGATCCTATTTTGTTTTACGTTCGGGATACTAAGCTACAAAATATGCATTTGTAGCTTAGTATCCCGAACGTAAAAAAAGGAAAGGCCGAGGCTTGAAATAACAATGTATTTACTAGTTTCGCTTAGTTGCACAAAATGGCTTTAGGCAATCAAGCGCAATGATCCTAGGACAGATTTGAATGGGACTATGGAGGTCAAATCAGATATTCTAGCTCAGTTAGGTGATCAGCACGCAAGTAATCAAGCAGCTTATTTTATGGTACGGAAAGGAAAGTTTATGGGGTGTTACTGCAGAGATACACTAGCCAGCAATCTCACAAGGAAAGGAAGGTTGGTCGAAATGGCCTTTTGAAATGAGGTGTATACTGCCTTGTAGAGCTTGAAACGCTGATTCTAAATCTACCTTTGTTATCTGCTGCAGGCTTCTGGGCGAGAAGTTATGAAGGTTTTTGTGAGTAAAAATCTGAATGCAAGAGTAAGCTAAAATCAGCCGTAACATTCTTTATAGGGCTTAATTGGTAGTCGAGTCACTCGGTGCAACAAATATTCTTGATTCAAATATACCAACTCACTGCTGCCTCATTTGAACATTGGGAAAAGGCCACGACCGATTTTACCCTACTTTTGCATTCAGATTTTTACTCACAAAAACTTTCATAACTCCTCGCCCAGAAGCCCGCAGCAGATAGCAAAGGTAGATTTGGAATCAGCGTTCCAAGCTCTACGAGGCAGTATGCACCTCATTTCAAAAGGCCACTTCGACCAACCTTCCTTCCCTGTCAGTCTGAAAAATTTTAGATGACATTGATGCGACCCATTATTCTAAGCACCGGCCAAATTTCGCCTTAACGAGTTTTGACTCGTTAAGGCGAAATTTGAGTTGAGGACGAGTTTTGCACCCAAGGACATCATGCAACGCTGGCGCTGAGCATCTTCTGATACGTGAAAGTGCCTGTCAGATTATGGTAGGGCTATGGTAGCTAGTCAAGTGAAGTTTCCTTTGATTTTCTTCCTTGCGCTGATCAGTGTACCAATTTTTGTTGCACCTATGTCACTTTCTACCGCAAGCGAAAATCACAATGAATTCGCAAAAAAAAACAATAGCTATGTCAAACCTGCCTTAAAGGCACCGTCCACCCAGATTTTCGACTTCCACGTTTTTGTCGTTGCAGGGCTTTCTCATGTCCTTGATTCCGAATATGAGGTCGAGAATGCGCGAAAACCCCGATAATCCCCGCTCCGGAGAACACACAAGCCGGCTTTCCGTAACGGTGATTGGATGGGCGCGCAAAAATGGGCGGGCATGGATGGGGGTCCTCGTGCATCTTCGCTATTCCGAAGTGATTTTCTCGCTTCCGAAGAGACATTTTGTGCCGCGACTTGGCCATTGGACTAATAGAGGACCCTACTATGCTGCCAAGAGCTCACCACCCTCAACTTAGGGTGGACGGTGCCTTTAAGACAGGCTCTTCTATATATTAAAGGATGCGCCGCGCCAAGCCGAATTGGTTGCATAGTGCCTTTCACTTTTAAGTCTTCCACTAGAGGGAGATATGTTGATGCGACGTTAATTGTCACTTAACTCATTACCATAAGCTCTTTTGGACAAATTATGAAGAGTATTAGAAAACGTAATCATACCACGGGCATAAAAACGTTCATAGGCGGTTGATGCTCATTGCCAGTAGCAAAATTTGGTCGGCTGATAGTGAAAGACTTTATAATCATTTTTGAAAAAAGAGCATTAGCCACTTAACCTTTAATTCAACTGACTTGGCTTCGGGAGGGCGGGTCTTGTGACCTAATCAAGGCAGCTCGCGCTCGCGACGCACTGCGTCTCTCTCCGTGAGTGCTCTTTGATCACTAACTAGCTAATTATATCACGGGGCCCCACATTCTCGAAGCCTAGCCAGTTGAATCAAATGATACTTTATATAGCATTGCATGTAGAAAAGGTATTAAACATGCTATGCAATCAAATCACATCAAACTTCTCGCTAAACTGATTGTTTGCCGCTAAACTAACTGTTCATCTACTTTGCAGCAGTCAGAAAAAATTGAGTCTTTTTTCTTCATACTGAAGCGCGCAACTCTGATCCAAAATTCTCATTTTAAGCTTTTTAGACCACCAAAAATTTCCGAAGTTGTTGCGCCCATTTGTTTTCCTTGACTTTTGTGCAGACACTCATAAACGAAAAAAATGCATAAAAAGAAATTGCATTGCTAGTCCATAGAAGTTGCTTGAGGTACTGTTTCCGTAATTCCTGCTCTTCCAGAGTGGGGGCGGGTAAACGCCGCCTTCACAATGATGATGACGCAGATACATATCTGGAGCCAACATTTTGCGCTCTAATTTCCAGGCAGGACCAACAAGACGGTTGTTTACTTCTAGGGTAGAACGAAGCGAAGAGGTATAGCAAGCATACATTATTCGGTCTGCATTAAGCTAGAAGTTTTCGCGCTCTAAGCAAAAATCGCAAGAATCACAGGAATCATTGTAATCACAGGGATGTATGGCCCCCTTAGGCGTACTCCTTCATCTGGGACAAGAAAAAGTTCACCTATTATTCGACATATACGAGATCAAAACTCACTAGCTTATCCGCCATTATGCAAAACATTTGGTGCTGTGGCGAAAACTAAATTACGTACATAAGAATGAGAACGGTTTTTATCTTTTGAATCAAGAAGTTTGCTTTTTAATGGGCTCTGATATGGTAGCTTTTTATGATGAGAACCACCAACCAGGGCCCGGCACGAGGTGGCATATTAGAGACTAGCTGGCTTACCCGGCTCCGCCGTATGTTCCGAATAGAAAATTCCATTTCTTAGCCGATCCGGACCAAGCTTGGCACACATACACTTCAGGCCCCGGCGGGTGCCACAGTCCATTTTTCGTTATCGATCGATGTCGATTTTATCGATTTTTTGCAAAATTTGAGCTAGGGGGCTGGAATTTGGCAGGGGGGTGTAATCGAGCATGCTGATCACCCCCACGGGGGTGATCAGCATGCTCGATTACCCCCCTGTGCCAACTCCCAGCCCTGTAGCTCAAATTTTGCAAAAAATCGATAAAATCAATATCGATCGATGACGAAAAGTAGCCTATGACACCTGCCGGGGTCCGAAGTGTATGTGTGCCAAGTTTGGTCCCGATCGGTTCAGAAATGGAATTTTCTATTCGGAACATACGTACAGACAGACAGACAGACAGACATACAGACAGACAGACATACAGACAGACAAACAGACATTCAGCTTTATATATAAGATTAAAAAACGATGTTCCCTTTGACATCGCAGAAAAATTATGAGATACCCTTTGCAGTGTTTGAAGAAGCTCCTATGACTTTTATTTTGATCATCGTTGTCTATAGACTATGGTTGAAATGACCAAAAAATTTTGTCGAACGAATGAATATCGAATAATCGGTTTTTGAAAAATATTCGAGCGAACGAATATTACTTGAACTGTGATTTCAGATTATTCAAATTGGAATATTCTAATAAGATTCGAGATTCGAGCGAACAAATATTCGAATAAATGAGATTGATACAAACTTCGCTTATTGGAATAATCGAATAATTACACATGGTCGAATATTCGACTATTCGAATATTCGAATAATCACACTGTCCGAATATTCGACTATGCGAATAAGTCGAATAATCTAGTTGCTCAAACACTGCTGTTTTTTTTTCTTTGTTGCAGTTTTCTGACAAAAAAATCAATCGCTGTATTTGATCTATATTTGTAGCTGATAATTATAGCGTAGCAAGTGGTAAGTATGACTGGGTTATTGTCGCTTAGTCGGGGTTTATAAAAAACAGAAGATTTACCCAAACATGTAGTTCGAGGTATTCATGTCCTTTAAACGGCTACTAAACCTTACCTGATTACCGGTTCAAGTCCGCATTTATTCTTCCCCAAAGAAGATTCTCCCAAAGCTAAACAAAACTTCCTCTCAAGCTACAGATTCAGCATGGAAAACCTTTTGAATAGGTGGTTGTTTGTAATTTACTTGTAATGATCAGCATTGCGTGAGTTTTAGAAAAATACTTGGTCGAAGTGGCGTTTTCAAATGAAAAGTATACTGTTTCGTAGAGCATGGAACGCTGATTCCAAATCTGTTTTCGACACCTGCAAAGCGCTTCTGGGAACAGAGATGTGGGAATTTGTAGCATAATCTCAAGGGCTTGGCTAAGGTAAAAACAGTGAGGTCTTTCTGGCGCTGTAACGCACTGTTGCCTACATAATACTTTTGTGCACATCTAATCCAGAAAAAGAAAAGTCATGGAAATATTAGGTTGGCCCGGAAGGTCTGTCGCACCATTTTCAAAAATTCATAACTTCTGAGTTTCAAACCAATTTGCTTGCTTCTATGTGCCGACTTTGTCCGCACCTTCCTTGCAACTTATCATTACTTCTCCTAAACACCGTAAAGGTCATGCCATAAGCATGACCTGCTGTGATAGTATGCGTATACTCCTGCTTTGACGTTTATGTTACCTAACTCCGCCTATGGTCGTCAGCATTCTATCACTACGCGAAAGAGGGTATGTTGATGTCTCAATAAAGCTGTTATAAGCTTATGTGTCTCCTGTATGGACACAAAAGGAGCCACCAAACTCCATACCAGCTTTCCATAAAACTGGTCAGCCACCACATCTTAGACTTTACCATAAGACTGGTAAGTCAGCACATTTTTATGGTGCTACACTTGCAGCAGCAGGCCTCACCTATCTATTTGGGCCGACAGTTATCCTCACTGTGATAAAATTGGTTTTGGTGCAATTGCGTGCCTACTATGTGCCCTGCTGGAGGTGG